CTTGAAAGATGGGGGTGGATGTGTTTCTCACAGAACAGTTTCACATTTTCTTCATACTTCAGCTCCTGTGATGGCTAGGGACTTAATTTTCTAAAAAATGAACAGCTTGGAATCTACATGGTGGGCTTAGAGCAGTGGTTCCCAACCTTTGGCCCTCCATTTCTTTGGACTTCAGATTCCAGAAGCCCCAGTCAACTTGGCCAACAGTCAGGAATTATTGTAAATGTTATTATAAATGTTTTTAATTTACTTATTGCAAATACTTTTAATTTACTATTTCTGGAAACTGCCTTTGGTCCCACCCAGGGAGAAACAGAGCAAATAAGTAAATACCATTATGGAAGTTGAAGTCCAGAACATTTGGGAACCATGTGCCTAGAGTAGAGGAAAAACCCAGCCAAAACATAATGTGTAACTTGGGTGTATGGCAACCCATTAGTAACCTGCCCTTCACAGTAGCCGAGAGCCCATTTCTCCTTTTGAAATCCAAACACTTTTTTTTTAAAAAAAAGTTAAATAGTGCAAGCTATTTAAAAGGTGAATTTTCATGCCAGGGAGCTACTAAGAGAGGAAACTTGCCCCCATTTGGCCAGACAAAGAGGAGTCCACGGACGCTGGGCAGATCAAAAGCAGAAAAAATTGCTTTGAGGGTTGCACACAGCTCCACGACTACATTTTGTCCACTCCTTGTTTAGAGAAAAGTATTGTTTAGAGAAAAGTATGTCATCAGGACTAGCAGCTCACTAGAAAGGTAGGAGAGACCATAAACATTCCAAACTCTGCTCTGTTAGCTTGAGGAGAAACTGTCTGCTAACAGAAATTGCACATATTTCTCAAAAGGTGTTGGACTGATAAGTGCTATCACCTTGTTGCTGTCTTTCAGTACAGGTTGAGTCTTCTTCATCTGTGACTATGCGAATAATCTTACTCATGCATTCCTGATTTGTTGATCACACTATCTTTGTGCATCTCTGCGAGTTCTCTTGCCCCCATTATCAGTACTGCAAATAAAGATGGAGTTGATAATACAGATGCATTTCAAACATGTTCAAGACATGCAGAATTTTATCCTGGTTTATGCCAGGCCTATCTGCATCAGTTATTCACACACCCAACAATGTGAATCTTTCAGGAAAACACCAAACAACAAAACCAACTAACAAACAAAATGAACCAACACCAAAACAAAACCCTGAGATGGATTATCCCGAGTTTTGTGGCATTCTTTTTGGCAGCCTCCCCCCCCCCCCCCACTTAATCAGATGCACTGAAAATTAATGTGAACAACACAGATTCAACCCACATTCTACCAGGATTATTTACATCAGCTAAATAACCTCTGAATTGGTTAACACTAAATGGCCAGATGGTCATGTTCTAATTCTTTTCTCCCTGGAAATATGGCACACACAAAATCAGGCTCCCAACCTGTTTTTGGCTTCCCATTGAAAAAAGTTTTGTTGTGAACATTAGCAAAGGTTCTGCTAAAAATGTTTTTTGTCACATAGATGAACTTTTCAAACACTTAGGATCGCCCATAGATTTCTTGATTTCCTAAATGCTTTATATACACCTTGAGGTTATCCTTTAAATGGTCCCATCAATTGTAAAAGCAATGCATGTAGGAACATCAGGGCAGGAGAATAAATGAGCAGATAATGCAAAGGGAATGTCATGCAGTGCAGGGATGGACACTTTTTCATTTTTCATATCTAAAGTTTGCTTTATATCATATTCATATGATTTGATATTTTTTTTAAAAAAGCCTATATGAAAATTCATAAACATTTACACACACATGCATTTTTGCCTAAGGCACGTTTCTTACTAGTAAACTAAACCCAGTTGTTAGTCCCAACTAGAAACTTACACATATTCTGTTGAATCTAGTTGAGATTACCAACTGGACTGAGGATGATTTTTAAGTAATAGAATGCATCTTTGAACATTATTCTCCCTAACAAAAAGTACTTACTTTCATCTACACTGTTTATTTGTATGTGCATTTTTTTAAAATCAGAGAGCTCTATCACAAAATTCAGAGGAATGCAAATGCTAAAGTATAACTGCTTTTTGATTTAATTGGTGTGAATTAGGTATGTTTGTATTACAAACCATACTAAACTAATATCTGCCAACTCTATTGCACTAATGGAAAGAAACACCAGGTTCACAGTGAAAATAACTTTGACTCCAAAGCCTATCAAGTGTAAATCCTACAGATTAAGTGCAGAGCAATGAAGACATTGTTTTCCTCTTTCAGAAGCAGTTTCCTCCTTAGACGAGAATACTGGAGACTTCTTACATTTTTGGGATTTTTGCTGAAATTGAGCCCGAGGGAAGAAATAGAGAAGTGCCCAGACATTCAATGCTAAGCTTCAACCCTGTATAAAGCAAACAGCACACATGGGGTGTGTATGTGTCTCTACCCCACTCCACCCAACTGAGAAAACAGAAATGTCTGTCTCTCTGCTGAAGACATTCCAACTGCTTCTCTTTACAGCTACTGCCACACTGCAGAAATAAAGTAGTTTGATACCACTTCAACTTCCATAGCTCAATGCTATGGAATTCTGAGATTTCTAGTTTTGCGAATTATTTAGCCTTTCTTGTCAGAGAACTCTGGTGCCCCACCAAACTACAAATCCCAAGACTCCATAGCATTTTATTGTGGAAGTTAAAGTGGTATCAAACTGCTTTATTTCTGCTGTGTGGCAGCAGCCAAAGACACACATGCAGAGGCACTGATCTCAAATTCATCTTAACTAGAATACACTGGATCTCCAGCTACCGGTAATAAACCCAAGACATGGAGTAAGCACCTTTTTCTAATTATTAGCACCACTAAAGAAGGATTTTTAGTTATTAGTAAAACAAAAGGATACAGATTAGAGAAAATCTAATCTCCTACGAACAATATTTTACCTGCCCCTATTCCACGTCATATGTGTTGATGATTACCCTGTCCTGGTAGATGGAAGAGAGGGGGAATTAACTAGTAAATTACCTTACATTAAATCAATTTCTCTATTTAGTTCTGTATCATTGCCACATGATCTGTGGTATCATCCTCGATACAATTCTTTTCTTTCATTTTTTTTTTAAAAAGGAGATGCTTGGTATTGAACTATGTGCAAAGTGTATATGCTTTACAAACAACATTTGTCCAGATACCAAATACCCACCCACCCAGCCACATTGTATCTGCTTGGTAACATAAGAACAATTCTTACAACAGTATAAATGCAACAGTATTTAAGTGGTTACAGTATGGTTCCACATGGCAAAAATTGCAGTGTTTATTGCTATAGTTCTGTATTTTTTAAAAAATGTCCAAATGATGTTCTGTTGTTCCAGACTATTTTCTGCACCAGTTGCAACCTTTTCTTTGCACCCTTGAGAGGATTCTTTTTTCATTCCGAGACACAGCAAAATAAAACAGTGCCCTTTGCTCTTTTCCCTTTTTTTTCAAAAAAGAATTGTAGTGCATTAATGCAGCAATGGAATGGAAGTTATACACTATAGTATTTTATCTCTTTTAAAAAATCAGGATATATTTTTTAAAAGAACTCGGTGTAAATCCAAACAATCAATACTAACAGAACCTCTAAATGGATGGAACGAGTGGAGGAAACAATAACCAGCAAAATCCAAGGAGCAATGTTCTGAAAAGTCATGCTTCTTGAAATCAAGCAAGAAGAGCCCTCTATCACAAGTTCCTGAATCAAAAGCTTATTTTTTCCACACAATGTAGGGGGGCATCTAGTGGACACTAATTTTATAGCAAGTGCTATAAAAACAAGGACATTTATTTCATTCTGGAGAAACAAAAAGACTTCAGAATCATCCAGATACGGTCATTTTGAGTGATTCTAGCTGCACTATTCTCTGATGTTTAATGTCACTTATTGCCACGTCCCCTTTCAATTGCTGCCACATTTTTTTTTACCTGAGTAGTAGTGTGGTTCAGAGAGCGGTTCATAGTTGTGACATAAACAATTAGCAAAATTAAATGTATACCTTTAAACTACAATATCAGTTGCACAGCCCCAATAGATTTACATGCACATAGTTTCATGTGGTTAAAGTGGAAAAATCTAGTAAGATGTGATGTTTTTAAAGAAAAATTTAAAAGAATAAAAAATTAATTTTTAAATAACTATTTTTTTTTAAAAAAAACCTTTCTCTTCCCACTGATCCTCACTACATTCACACCATCTCTTCAGCATTTTAAAGGGACATAGACAAATGCCACAGCCAGTTTCTGCCAAAAGGCAGATGGTTGGGGAGCAGTGGTGTCACCCAGTGTGGTCCTCACTCCCCACACACCCCTAGTGATGCCTCTGCTTCAGTCCACCCAAATGTCAGTGGCCACCCAGCTAAGGGGGAATAAGGCAGAGGAGGAGGGGAGTTATACTGCACACTTGATGTGAACTTTTTAACCCTCTCTTCTTCCTCCCACTTGGGCAACCATTTCAACTTGATGACCGAGCCCTACTTCATACAAAGAACCCTCCTGGTTTAGACCAAACACTTACCTAATCCAGCATTCTATTTTACAATGGTCAACAGGAAGCCTATGGGAATCCCATCAGCTGGTGTTGAGTGTGATAACACCCTTCTGCTTGTCTTCTTCAGGATATGAGGCCTTTTCACACTACAGTGATACCTCTACTTACGAATGCTTCATCTTA